GTCTCATCACTATATCAGCTGGGTCGGAGTTCCTCGGAGAACCGGTTACTGGCCACCTCTTCATCATTCATAGATCAGGGATTGTTCACAATTGTCACTCCTCCTGTAGACAATGATCCTGCATCTCAAAGCAGCCGAGTCATCTACTCGTCCTCCTCTCACGGAGCCTATTTCGGAATTTCGGACAAACAAGTTGAATCGATAACATTTCCTGGCGGCCCGGATGGCAAGACTCCAGTGCAGTGCTGGATCGTAAAGCCATCTCGGTACGACGCCACGTCCGTTGAAAAGCATCCCCTATTTATCTTTATGCACGGCGGGCCCAATTCCGCTAGCAAGGACGCCTGGACCTGGCGCTGGAATGCAGTCCTCCTAGCGGAACAAGGGTACATCGTTGCGATCCCCAACTTCACTGGATCCGACTCGTTCGGGGGCGAATTTGCACGAGCAGTCGCACTGCAGTGGGGAGGACACCCTTACCACGATGTCGAGCGCTGTTTCAACTGGATTGAACAAAACCTGTCAACCAAGTGCGATGTTGATAGAGCCGTAGCCGCGGGCGGAAGCTATGGGGGATATCTGGCACTATTCTTGGCAGGACAGCCTCTCGCCAAGCGGCTCAGAGCTCTGGTCAGCCACGACGGCATCTTTGACGTTGTTTCCGAGCTTCTGAGTGATGATCTGGGTCAAGTGCAAGAGCTGACGCGCTCCTTCGGTTCGCCATACTTCTCCAATGCCCCGGATGCTGGCCGTGACGAACCCAGCGTAAAGGAGATCTGGCGACGGTATAACCCAGCCGAGTATCTCAGTAATTGGTCAACACCATTGCTTCTGATCCATTCGGATCGAGATTTCCGGTGCCCTATTACGGCTGCATCGGCCGCGTATACCGTTTGTCGAATGAAAGGGATAGATACACGGTATTTAAATTTTCCGGATGAGAACCATTTTGTCCTGGGGAGGGAGAACAGTTTGGTCTGGTATCAGAATGTGATTGGATGGTGCAATAAATATGTGGGAATGGAGGATGGGTTGGCGTTGCAGCCAGCTCGCAATGAACCACAGTGGCTGGGGAGAAGGGAAGAGGGGAGGGTACTGGATGTTGATGTCTAGACTCTAGAGGCATGATTCCTGTATTTTATTATTTTTTCCCTTCTTGGTTGCAATCTTCAGGTATGTGGTCAGTTGGCCTGAGGCCTCAATAAGACCGACAGACCGACTGATGACTGACCGCTTACCCGCGGAAGCAACCAAGCCAAAGTTGAACGCGGGTTATGACGCCATGGCCCAGCAGGGCGTAGTGCGATCGCTCCATGTGATCACCGGCGAGACTAGCTGCATGTCCGACACCACTGGCTATACTCCTTCTGGCTTGGAGCGCGTGATGGCCTGTTAGAGGAAAAGAGCGAACAGATTAATAATTTTTTTCTTTTTTCTTTCTTTCCCATCAGGCTGCTCCATGCCACACACACACTCTAAGGAGGAGGGGACGAGCTGAGGACAGTCCCTCTGAATCTCTACTTCTTCCTTTGTTATCACAGTGTGGATGTCCCTTACCCATCTATCAAGCTCGTACAACGGATCCGATCAGCGTAACTCCACCGCTCAGAAGCTGGGGACATCCGCTAGTTATCTATCCACCTGATCTCCATTTGAGGAAAAGATCCAGACTCCCGCCCTAGCATCAAATCTAGTCTAATAAACCCTGCGATCCCGCGAGCACGCCATCATGGAATCCTCTGATTTGACCGCGCCTTACGCCAGGCAGGCCAACGTCTTATCTCCCACGCAACGATCTTCATCCCATTCGTCTCATCGTGAGCCACACCGCATGGCTGCCTTCGAAACGGTCACCGTGCCTGACCAGGGCCAATCGCAACCGGTCAACGAGGTCACTCCGATCGTGAGCAATTCTGACACATCTCGGCGCAACTATCATTCTACCGACGGTCTACGGAACAGAGACTCGGGATCAACAAACAATAACACGGTCTCACGGGATCCCGGTCAGCAGAATTCTCAGTGTGACTCGGAAGAACCGCACGGCTCGTGGTATAGCCGGCTGGCAGATCGATATGGAAGCCTGGAGTTAGAAAATAAAGGCAGTGTGGCCCGAGATCATCTCGCTTTGGGTATGCTTAGTCCGTTGTTGCTTTGCTTTTCTTTTCTTGCTTTTTTTTCTCACCCCGTCCGTGTACGACCTCGTTAACCGGATTCCCTTTCTTACCCTTAGAACGAACCTTTTTGGCATGGCTGCGGACATCGTTAGCCTTTGCATCGATTGGCATCGCAGTAACCCAGTTATTTCGTCTTAATAGTGCCGGGACGAACGCAAATGCCAATCTTTCCGCTCAAAATTATCTTTTGCCATCTGCCGCTTATGATTCCACGCCAATAGGGGTGACATCTGCCTCTGCACGCCTTCGGAGCATCGGTAAGCCGTTAGGGACCACTTTCATTGGAGTTGCAATTTTGATTCTACTGGTTGGATTCCACCGCTATTTTGAAAGCCAGTATTGGATTATTAGGGGCAAATTCCCGGCCAGTCGTGGCAGTGTTGCATTGACAGCCTTTGTAGCTGCTGCTCTGATTGTTACCGCTTTTGTTGTGATCCTTGCCATCTCCCCCGGCGCGGTTGAAGCGTAGGGGCTTAATTTCGGGATAAGCAAGGGGTTGCACGTTTTCTATACCGTTTTGCATTCTAGTTTTGTTTGTATTAAAGCGAGCGAAATGATGGATTTGGCGGTGTTGTGCTGTTCATAGGTACATAGCAGTATTTAAGTAATAAACATGGCCGAATCGACCGAACAAAAGAGCTACTCTACTATAGTCATCCAGATATCATACAACGAACTATCATTAGTCCACGCACTAACACCCCTACGGAGGCAATAAATGACCTGCTACTTCTTAATCTGTAGTATCTCGTAAGCAGAAAAATCACCTGACACTACACGGCCCTTCCTACAGTACTATATCAAATCAGAAGTACAGCAACCATACACATACCAACAGCCTACAACCTATAACCTACAATCTACAACTACATACAAGAAACCAAACTGCGAGTGAGATCCTTTTTGATTATCTCTTAACTCAGGAGTAGAACTAAAGGCTAAGGCAACCCCCCCATTCGGGCAAACCTGATAGGCGGAATCCAGGGAAAACACCTACCGCCGTCTTTAGTCTTCAGTGATATAGGATGAAAACCTGGACCGGGGTGCACGACGCCATACATGACAATAGACAATAAGGAAATGAGAACAAGCTTCGCTGAATCGCCCCCACAAAGATAAGATAAAAGGAGTAAAAAGGAAATTACAGGAAGAAGATTGATCCCCAAAGTTTCATAGATGTTCCTCCGCTCGGGCCTTGAGTTCGCCCCCTTCTTTGTGACATGCTGGTACTTGTACGTCCCCACAAATATTATAATCAAAACAAATTCATGTTATACATGAAGTTCCCAGATTTTCTTGAATTCCTCCGCTGGGTGTCCTTTAGACTTGGTTGGTGTGTTGGGATGCCTAGGATATATTAGTATGTGTGTATGCAGGTTGATGAAGATGAGGTGGGTACTTACTGCCTTAGAAGGCTTCGAGCATCATGGAGTCGCCGTCGAAGTCGACGGGAAGGTTGGTGATTGGGTAGCATGGTAGCTGTATCGGTTGGAGGACGGGTAGATTGACTGGGGTGGGGGCCATGTCGAGGATGTCGAACATGGGTGTGTCCCCATCGAGGTCCTTAGAGAATGGTCTCTGAGGGGCGGTCTTAATGGGTGTGCCGCGTCGGTATTGGGGAGGTGTGTTGGTGTTGTTGAGTTGTCTCCTGAGGTTCTGAGACATGGGGAATGCATCGAGCATGATGGTATCACCGTCGATTGATTTGCGGTTGTTGATGTTGTTGGCTTTACGGCCAGTGTTTGGTTGGGCCTTGGTTGGAGGAGGCTGCCTCTTTTGAGGTTGAGGCTTGACGAAGACGTCGGTCATGGGGATGTCTCCATCGACGTCGCGATGAGGCTTTCGAGGTGCTGGCTTGGAGATGCCAGAGTTTGACTTGTAGTGAAGGTTCGGCTGCCTCTGATGTTGAGGAGCGTTGGAGGAGGGGGTGTTGTTGGTACGGATGGATGGAGGAGATTGTTTTGGTCCATTAGGTCTGAATCGACGAGGAGGAGATCGGCTGTTTTGTTTGCCGGGGCGGGTGTGGTAGAAGAAGTTGGAGGCGGGAGGAGCAGCCATGTTGACTGGTTCAAGGAGGAGAATAGAGGGAGATAGGTGATGAGGAATAGTAGAGATAATAGAGGTGGGTAGAGATATATGGAGAGACGTTTTCGGATCTCTCAAGGAGTATGAGGTGGATGGATGATGTAAGAAGTATAGGTTATAGGAGAGACTTGTACGGATCTCTCGAGAAGTAGGAGGTGGGTTTCGGTTGTTTGAGTATAGGAGAACAATAAAAGCAGATTTGTAGAGATGTTTTTCGTATCTTTAGAGAATGGGGGTGATTTCGGAGTTTGTAGTATTAGGGATTTGTTAAAAGCAACGCAGAACAGTTAAAGCAGATTGAACAGTTAAAAGCAGATTTGGTTTGAACGTTCCAGTTTTTTTTCGGAGACGTTGGAGAAAGGAAAGATTTCAGAATGGCCGTGGGAAATCGGGGGGCCTACTTATACCCCCAGAGTCTCCTGAAAACTTCGTATACCTGAGTTCAGCATTACAACGGAGCGAAGTATAAGGACTATTGTAGAAAATATCTAGATAGTCTACCGTGGGTCCGATAGGGCTGGCCTCCAGGAACGGGCTATTAATATCTCTTCCGCTAACAATAAGGTTTCTGGATATAGTACATAGGGCTAGCCAATAGTATGACCCAATGGCTAGGCCCCTGCTTGCCGAACTCAGTCTGCCTGGCCCTTGCCTAAGAATAGTGGTGAGAAAAGTGTAGGGGTAAGTCTGGGGTAAGTCCGGGGTAATCTGGGGTTACACATCCGGACTTATCATCGGCTAACGATTCCACTTCGTCCCAATTCTAGCCTTCTTCCTAGTGTGTTTCGTCCCGGTTCTGGCCGAAGATGTGCTTCCGTTAGATGTCAAACTGTCCCTCTTGCGTTTGTCCACTTTCGAGGTCTCCCGTCTTTTGCGTTGTTCCTCCTTGATCTTCAGTCTTCGCTGTACCTCCTCTGAGATATCCTCGGTCTCCACTGATAGAGGTGAGGAACGCCTTATGTCTTCATCAGCTCCAGGAATAAATTCGTCGGTACGTTTTCGTTTGCTAGAGTGGACAGCTAGAGACCTTGCAGTCAGGGGGACTTGGTTTTCCGCTGCTGCTGCTGCTGCCCCTCCGTCTTCTTCCGGGTCATACATGTGGTCGGCATGACGTTTGAGTTGCTCTTTTTTTAGCTCCTTTCGACTGCTTGACGTCGACATGGATTCTGACGCACGAGTGTCCGATTCCGGTGTTGTTGTGTTGAGCTCTATAAGGATGGTTACTTTTCTCTGTACTAGGCTGTGGTATTGTATTATACCCGTCAGAGGAAGCGGGTAAGCTTAGAAAAACTCACTTGGCACCTGCCAGATTGGTTAACCACAGCACGGACAGAAGTAGGCAAGAAGGAAGTAGCTACGACCTACCACACGTTTCTTAAGTATATCAAACTGAGCAATCAGTCTCTTAGTTTTATCAACCATGTTGGATACCAGTTGGAATTCCTCTCCGTGTGAGTGGACTTGACTCTTCAACTGGTGCAACATCTCTAGATGCGACGACAGCATAATATCATGTTGTTTAGAAATCTGATAGTAATGATAGACAGTGTAAGCCATCTACAGTTGTTCATGTATATAGGAAGCATAACATCGCCATTCAGGACAAGGCGAATGGTGAGCTCATGATACATGCAGAATGTCTATAGTAGGTGCGCCGTGCACGGGAATGGTTCACCCACCTCAGGCCACGAATGTTGGAATAGCTTGGTTTCTGGGGCCTTTCCACTTCCCCCATTAGATGATCGCTCATCTTGTTGGTCCATTTTGATAAATGGAGTGGATTTATGGCCAGCTAATGGCATTGCTGCAGAATTTGTCCCAAGAGGTGAGGTTGAAATAGAGTCCGAGTGTTACGGTTTTGGGGCGGTGATGCCAAAGGGGAAATTTCCCCGCCCGCGTTGTGGTGGCTGGCTTTTCCTTTCCTATTTATTCTCTTTCTCCCTTGCATACTGTAACAGTAGGGACAGCGGTAAAGCCTTACGAGGGGATATGGAAACGAGTTCTAGCTGATGCTTCAATGAAGGCTTTCGGTATTTCGCAATGTTGCTGCGACCGGATGCTGAATGGGGGGGTTGGCGTCAGATCACGTGATCATACAATATATAGCGACGAGAAGGTACAGTGCAACCACCTTGTCTCTGGTTGCAAGGTCACTTCTGTTCTGGTATCTAGAGAGATGATATCATGATGCTCCTGAGACTAGTACTCAGATCTCCGATCCATCACTATCATCTACTGACTATATGATCTTACGGCAAAAAGTGAGCTTCGGAAAGCAGTCCGGGGGAACTCCGATGGTTCGGCTCGGACCCCCGCATTTCACACCCCTCATTCTCACTTGCGCTTTCCAGTTCTGTTTCATTCTTGTCTCTTTTGATTTCTCATTTCCCCCGGAAACTTCTCCCCCCGCCGGATGCTTGCTGCACGTCTCTCCACCCTTGAAATCTGGGGTCGGCTTGTCTCGCCCAGTCCCTCCGTTTCCCCATTCCTCCTCCCGCGGAAAAAGATCCAGCCTCATCTACCGTTCATGTCTCAACAGCAGAGTCCACCAGAAAGTCCCGTGTCATTGGATCCATGGCCACAGGCCTGGCAGCAAGAGGGGACAGTGCACTGTCCCCAGACGCCCTGATAAATTCTGGGCGTCGCCTCTCTGATACCGATGATTCGATCCCCGCAAAACGCCCAAGAAGGGCGTCGGACTCCCCAGTCAAGGCCTCCAATGGACCGCGTCAGAAGATCACACGCGCCTGTGATCACTGCAAAGAGAAGAAGACGCGCTGTACGGGAACACTTCCATGTGTCAGGTGCATGCGACTGGATTTGTCCTGCCAATACAATGCCGCTTACTCCCGGGGGTTGCCTCCAGAGCCCCTCCCCGCACCGCCGACAATGACGGACGGTCACTCATATAGTCCCGGTTCCAAGAGAAGGCCCCAAGCAGACGGGGCTCTGGGACGTCGACGCTCGTCATCTGCGCGACAGTCTCCTAGAGTACCTGCCGGTTCGCCTCAACAGCCTCTATGTCGAAACGAGGTCTCTCAGCGCAACTCCCCTGATCCAGCGGTGACCGACTTCGAAGGCAATTATCTAGGGCCTGCCTCGGGAGTCTCCTTTCTCAATCGAGTTTGGCGTCGCCTACATCAGGATGAAAGGCATGCAATCCCAGATAGCCTAGAGAACGAGTCCTCTCCGAGGAACACCTCGGTGTTCATGTTTGGTGATAAGCCATACTCCGACTACCGCCAGGTGACTTTTTCACTTCCCCCGTTTGATAAAGCACGAGAGCTGGTCAACATCTACTTCGACTTCTCGATGGTGACATATCGATTTCTTCATCGAGGAATCGTAGAGGAGTGGCTCTGCCAGGTGTACCTGAACAATGTCTCCTCTGCAAACCCTCCCACGGGTCCCATGGTAGTGCGGACAGCCATCATTCTTATGATATTTGCTGTTGGCACGCTCTACGAGGAGCAGAAACCGGAACGTCCGGTTGATGGGTGGTGTGGAAGGTAAGCTAGTCAGTTTTGTTCCTCTCGGGTCTATTGTACTGAGTCATCTCAGCGAGCAGTGGTATGCAGCGTCCAAATACATGACCTCCCTGGAGTCGGGCCCCCCTCGACTAGAGACCGTTCAGGCTAGGCTAGGTCAGTGCCTTTACTTGCTGTCTACCTCTAGAGCGAATGAGTGCTGGTATTCATTCGGTACTGCCCTCCAGCTCGTAACGGCGCTGGGCCTGCATCGAAAATTCCCAGGCAGGCTACCTAAGGGCGGGAACACCTACATGGAGCGAGAGCTCCGCAAGCGCATCCTCTGGAGCGCATATATGTTGGACAGATATCTCAGCGTGATGTTTGGTAGACCACGGTTATTACACGATGAAGACATCGACCAAGACCTTCCGGATGAGATAAATGACGAAGACATGCTCCAGGAGGACCCGGAAAGACGCACAGGATCCGCCGATTGCATGATGATCGCATCCATCCTACATTTCAAGTTCGTCTCACCCACCCCCTCTATATACATGGGTACATGCCGATACTGACAACACAGGCTTGGTCGCATCCTGGGCGACATCTCTCGTCAGCTCTACACAGTGAATCCATCGTCTCGTAGTCCACCACTCGAGACGGCTGCACGGCTCACGTCTAGATTGGAGGAATGGAAAGCGACAGCCCCGCCGATCTTCAACGGAGTGCGCGCAACCAGCCTCATTCCTCCTCTTTGTAGGCAAAGCCAAGTATTACAACTGGCGTACTCGCATGCGGTCATCCATGCGACCAGATCGTTCCTGCTCAACGACATTTCGGATCTGAGACGTAAGCCACCAGCTCCTCACCCCGTAGCGTCCAACCTAGTACGCAAATGTGTGGAAGCCGCCCAGGAGGTCATGGAACTGGTAGAAGGCCTGGCCAAGCAGAACATTCTCATCCATTCGTTCTGGTTCACACACTACGTATGCTTCTGCGCGATCACGGTGGTGTATATCTATATTATCCAGCAACACCGCGACACATACCCAAAAACCTTATCCCCGGGCACCGGAGACGTCTCTCTGAGCTCTCTCTTCAGATTAGCTGAGACCTGCCAACAACACTTGGCAGAGGCTACACGTAAGAACTGTCCCAGTCGTCGCTACAGCATTATCCTAGAAGAGCTACGAAAGGAGGTTCACCAACAGATTGGGCCGGACGCCGACTGCTTGGTCGATTTATCTGAGCAACAACGGCCTAAAACCACCACGCGTCGGGATGAACTGCCAATAGAAGCGCAGCAGATTGGCCTCACCAACCTCTACTCCCCTATCTCACTGGACAACTCGATGGCGTATTCCAGTAGCTTACAACCGGCGGCAGATTTGGCCGCACAACCATTCGGACCTGATAGTGATGTTGGCTTCATTGAAAATTTGGAAGGATCAGTGTGGTGGACAGAGTTAGATTCCTGGGTGAGTGTCCTTTCATCTACTTTGTTGTCAATATTTGCGCCTCATAACTTATTCCCTTTGCTTCAGGCATTTACCAATCTTCCTGGTGACCCTTTGACACTCGGGTTGTAATATATGATTAGAATATTAGCGTTAGATCTAACGGTCATTCTATGCTATACTACTATTTGGAATGATCTTCCGTTTTTTCAGCTCTTCGATAATGATGTAGAAACATAGGTTTTGTTTCAAGATGAGAGATTAGATACATTTTTTTCCCATTTTTATCTGATAACTTTAACTTGTCCTGACAGCAACCGAGATTCGGGTTTCCCCCCGCATCGGACCTGGCCGAAAGTAAATTTCAGCGCCAACCGTGGGCAGTGAGTGACATTCAACTCACCAGGTAGATTATTTCGAAGTTTTGCTGTTCAATATCGATCCTACAATCATGCTAATATGCAAAGTCATTGACGACAAAATGACTAACTCGTCATGCTCCATTGCTAGGGCTTCTCTAATTGGCGAAGGAGACTAAGCTCCGATCTCGCCATCGCCTGTGCCGCTTGCGACAGCCGTCTTCAGCGGCCCTGGCCGCCCTATTATTCCTTCTTTTCGAACGTACTCATGCATCACGACATTTCCATGACCTAATATAGCGCAACATAGAACAGACTATCATCGCTTCGCTTGCGAAAAATCCTGGCACAACAAAATGGCGTGTTCTTGCGGATCATACATAACCTCGGCGAGCTGCCGTCCCTTTCTTCTACTCTCGCCCTGAAATTTTTTTATTTTTCCGAACAATCACGCGAATAATTCCAGTCTTGATCTCAGTTCACTATGGCGGACGCTGAGAATGGAAGTGGCGGCAAAGTGCCACTCAAACGAGTGTGGTACCGCACCTCCCTTTTCAATGCCTGCGTGATTGGTGCTGTTGGCTTTCTCGCCCCCGGGCTATGGAACGCCATGAACTCCCTGGGAGCCGGAGGCGAAGAGAAACCTTTTCTGGTGAATGCCGCCAACGCACTGGTTTTCGGGCTCATGGGCATTTTCTGCATATTCGGCGCGCCTATCGCCAACCGGATCGGACTGAAATGGGCCCTTCTCCTCGGCGCCGCCGGCTACCCCGTCTACGCAGCCGGTCTCTACACTAACAACCGGTTCGGCAACGTCTGGCTAGTTCTGGTCGGCGCCGTTGCATGCGGCATTTCGGCCGGTCTCTTCTGGGCTAGTGAAGGCGCCATCGCAATCGGATACCCTGAGCCATCGAAACGAGCCCGATACCTCAACATCTGGGTCTGGTGGCGCACCCTCGGACCCATCATCGGGAACTCGATTGTCCTGGCCCTCAACATTAAGAACAAAGACAAAGGAAGCGTGGGATATTCCACTTACATTGTCTTCATCGTCCTACAATGTCTCGCCGTCCCCGTCGCTTTACTCCTCACCCCGCCCAACAAAGTCCAACGCGCCGATGGCTCCCCGGTCATCCTTCGGGTCGAGGACTCTTGGAAAGCGGAGTTCCAAGCCCTCTGGAAAACATGCAAAAACCGCACCGTCATCCTTCTTCTCCCTGTCTTCTGGGCCGTCTACTTCAATGAGTACTCGAGTAACTTCGAAACGTACTATTTTGGGGTCCGGGCTCGTGCGCTCATCGCTTTCCTCTCCGACTGGGTCACCATCCTTGCTTCGCAGATCATTTCTCACTGGCTCGATTGGAAGCGTGTCGACGCTAAGAAACGTCTCACGTACGGCTGGTATTGGGTCATCATTGTGCATGTGACGGCGTGGATTCTTGGCTGGGTTGTGCAGGAGCAATATACATCAGCCCATAAAAAGAACCCTGATTTGGGGACGATGGATTACACTAGTCCGGGGTTCACTAAGGGCGCGTTTGTCCTCTTCATGTGGACGTTTGCGCAGCAGACGGGCCAGAATTGGTTGTATTATCTGGTGGGAAGCATGACCGATAATATCGCCGAGTTGACCAGGTTGACGGGTGTGTTGCGCGGTCAGGAGAGTTTTGGTGAGGCGATTTCTTATGGATTAAATACGAGGGATTGGTATGGTGGACGGGTACCGATGGCTGTGAATACTATTTTGCTGGGTGAGTTGGATTGATTTCTGAAGAAGAGGCTGAATACTGACTGGCTTTGTCTAGGGCTGTGTGTTATTCCGACATGGATAGTTGTGAAGAATCATGACATGGAATCCACAGATGAGAGGGAGTTGGAGGTGGATCGACGCCCAGTTGTGGATGAGAAGGGGGTGGTTGATTTGGAGGTGAAGGAAACGGGAGTTCAATGATCTATTAATAGCAGATCAGATTAGATGAGCAGAATGTCCTCGATTATACTATACACTAATATAATATTTTCCTGACAGTGCACTTTAGTCCACTGAGGATAGTAGATCGGAGGAATGGTCGGCCAACGGCCGGGCCAAGTAACGGACCCTAACTCCGTGTTGGTGGTTCAAATCCTAACCTTCAGGGGCCGAAGCCGATCCTTCCTCCGCTGGCTTACGTCCTGTTCCCCACAGTGTCTGTCACACATAGATGATGGATGGACCCTGAACCTCCTATTCAATAGTATCGCCATGCTATGCAATTCGTGCCGGTCCATCTACCGGCCTGGTTTACCTACAAACGGCTAACCTGCAGGGTCGATCCCAATTTCCCTAAACCGACGAACAATGAGAAAGGTCGGCTAATCGACCGACCAATGGCCCGAGCATGAATAGTATACTTAAAGCAATCCCAACCAGGGACCTCTACAGGAAAACGTCGCAGAAGCAAAGGGAAGCATTGCGTCTCAACCGAGATTCCAAGGATGAAATTGACGCTACCGGTGGCCTTCTGCTCGCTGGCGGCAGCATTCGATATTCCCAGTCATGGACCGTCTCCAGTCTCCCACCGTGACACATCCTCATTTATCCATCCAGGCCTCCTCCAAACAGCCTCTGATTTCTCACGCATCACCTCCAAAGTATCCAGCAACACCGAACCCTGGATAACAGGCTGGTACAAACTGACCAACAGCTCCAACATCAACCTAGACTACACGCCCTCCCCGAAGACAATCGTCTATCGCGGCGCAGATGGCACCCACACCGAGAACTATCCCTCTCTGTACAGAGACATAGCGGCCGCCTACGCAATGGCCATTTACTGGAAAGTAACCGGCAACACGAGCTACGCGGACGTTGTCGTGAACATCCTGGACGAATGGAGCTCCACCCTGACCGAGATCTCCGGCACAACCGACATGTACCTCGCCGCGGGCATATACGGGTACGAATTCGCCAACGTCGCCGAGATCATGCGCACGTATTCCGCATGGCCGAGTGCTAATTTGACCCGCTTTGCGAACATGATGGTCGACGTCTTCTATCCCCTTAATCATGATTTCCTGCAGAATCATCATGGCGCCGCTGTTGATCATTACTGGGCGAATTGGGATTTGTGCAATATTGCCTCCGTCTTGTCTATTGGCGTGTTGACTGATAACCAGACTATGTTCGACGAGGGATTGACTTATTTCAAGTCTGGTGAGGGAAATGGCCAAATTGAAAATGCCATCTGGAAGCTGTATGAGGTGGATGGGGAATCCCTGGGTCAGGGTCAAGAGGCAGGGCGTGATCAGGGCCATTCGATGCTGGATTTTTCTCTCCTGGGGCCTATTGCCCTGACGGCTTATAATCAGGGGACTGATCTTTTTGAGTATTTGGATAATCGCATTCTGGCTGGGTGAGTTACCTCCCACCCATTTCTCTCTCCTATACTTGGTTTATCTTCTCCTTCCCCTATCCTTCATCTCAGTCTGGAATACACCATGCTTACAGAAAGATGACTTTAGTGCGGAATACGTCGCCAAATACAACCTTGGCAACGACGTTCCCTACACGACATACAACAACAGCGACGACGTTAACCAGACGGTTATTAGCAATTCCAGTCGCGGAGATATCAGACCCATCTGGGAGCTGCTGTATAACCATTATGGTGTACTCAAGGGACTCAATGTTACTTACACGAAGGAATATCGCGATTTGGTCGTTGAGGATGGCGATGGAGCAGAGGGCGGTGGTGGCGATTATGGAACTACGAGTGGTGGGTATGATCAGTTGGGATGGGGGACGCTGTTGTATACGCTTGAGTGAGATGGGGATCTACTGCTGCTAGAGATTTTTCACCTCTTCGTCCCCAGGAGTGCTTGATGTGTGGATCTTCGGGGCTCAGCGTCATGTAAATTTTTGAGGCAGTGATTTGACATGCGAAAGTCGAGATTATCATCAATCGACAGTCCTGATGGTTTGTAATGGTTGAGGTTGGAATAGCTGGGCCAGAAACTTGCGACCGAGATGAGATGTAAGCGAAAGCGCCAGCTAACTTACTATATGGACGCATGGTTTTAAGCATTTAAAATCGCAAGGAGTCGCCACGAGGACGCAGTAATCACAAGCTCTGGCATCAGCTTCACCGTCGCAGTAAGATACTTGCTAGAAAAGATGCAGAGGAATTGTATATGCTCACTAGTAAGCTGCCCACACTAACGGTATCTATTACTTTTCAGATGTCTTGAGGCTATACGACCTCCCAGAAAACGCTGAGAGGCTATATATACGTATGTGTATATGCAAAATGACCAACCAGGGCCTTGGCTCTGCCACCCTCCAGGCTAGGTGACTCCTCACCCCCGTTTCATATCCTTCAGCGCCTCCTCTACCAACCAGCAACTCACGTCCTGCGCATCCTGGCCTACGCGCCAACTGCCCAGCACCACGCCTTGCTTTTCCAGAAGTTCTCGGGCGCGTTCCCAGCGACGTCGCCATAGTTCCTCTCGTTTGTTGGGCAAAGGAGCTGCTGGGGCCGCCGTTGAGTTCGGAGTGCTACTGTCGACACTGGTGCTGGACCTGCTTGCTGAGGAGTTTGGCTGGGCCGGTCGGAGAATGTTCGATGGGGTTGGAGACCAGTTCAAACGGTCGGAGGCGTATTGTAGCGCTGCTGTGGCTGCTGTGGCTGCAGATGCGGGGTATGATTGTTTCGGGGGAAGGGGTGGGGGTGTTGGGCGGTTTGTAGTTTGCTGTGATGAGATAGAACCCGGGGTTGAAGTTCCTGTGTTGGTTCTGCGTGGTGGGGGAGGTGGCGGTGCTTGCTTTGAGCGTGTCGGCCTTGCGCCAATCCCGTTGTCGTTGGGGATATCTTGTAAGCTAGGCTTAGGACGTATGGGCATTGGTCTCGCTACATTATTCACAGGCGTATTGTTTTCGGTATCAAGTATGTTGTCGGTTGAAATATCGGGCTTAGTGGAAGAGCGGCGTGGGGGTAGTGGTGGCACAGGTTTTCGTTTGGCTGTTAGTTGAAGTGAAGGCTGATCGTCTTTGCTCATGTCTGGATTAGTCGAAACTGAGCGCAACGCGGAGGGCTTGGAAGGTTTCGCGGGTGGTCCGCGCCCGGTGGAGGGCTTCTTCATATCAGCCAAAGACATCTTCTGTTCCACCTCGTCGCTAAGATCAATCAAGTCGGCGTTGTCTAGGCTCACGGCATCCGCGGACGAATCGGCCGTTTCCACGGGCCGCCGAGGTGGTAATGCCGGACGTTTAGACACGGCATCAGAGGTTTCCACAAGTTGCGGACTGCTGCGGCTCCGGTTCAAATCATGTTCTAAGTGGTCCACTGATTTCTCGAAGAATTTCTGTCGATCGGTGGTGGTAACGTCGCGAATGAAGATTCCAAGAATCCGTCCCGGGTTTGCTAGAACGATGTCGGTATATACCTCCAAATCCGCTTCACCGCTGTCTCCAACGAGAATGAACTTGCGGGTAGGAAAGTCTCTCAAAATCTGCTCTAAAGAGCCCCTCTTCCTTTCCGCCGTAGGCTCGAATATCCCCTGAAGCATACCACTGTATTGTTTCAAGTGGAAAGAACCCGGGGGCAGGCCGGCGAGCTTGAAGTAGCGTTCCAGAAGAGGATACAGTTGCCAGGGGGCATTAGAGACATAGTGCAGGTCGACTCCCATTTTCGCCAGCTTGCCATACCAGTCAGTAACACCGTCGACCGTCAACTCGTTCAGTTCACGGACGAAGGTGTTGCGAAACATCTCTTTGGCCCCGCTAGCAATAGCAGAATGTTTTACCGTGTCGTCGATATCGCTGATCAAGCTAACGCCCGTGGGCTCGATGACCTTGACTTCCTTCACAGCCGAGAGATCCTCGGAGGCTAGCACACGGGCGTGAGTCGGGATAAAAGGTAGTGACGCTCGTAGGCGAAAGTGACCGGACTCATCGGTCATCACGCTCCTCGACTGGCTTTTGTCGTTGTTGAAGAAGAAGACAGTGACGGGAATTCCTGTTACCGGGTTCGTCAAGAAAGGGCGTAATCGTTCCAGAAGGTGCGCATTGGCGACGGAGAGTTCATCCTTGCTCAGCGGTGCCGTTGCTGCCCTCTGGAGAGGTCGTCCGGGAGTATTTTGGGCATCACGATCTTCTGCGCTGTCTTTCCATACGGGATCGGCCTCCTTTTCAGCCTGCTTAATGATCGATTGTGCCTGCGTATTGACCAGCTCTTCGTCCCCCTTCTCAGTCCTAGAGTCATTTGCATTATGTTCATCACCATCATTTGTGCTGTTCATAGGAGCTGGTACTCCGCTGAGCTTTCTAGCGAGAGCGACCATCAGACGATGTTTTCGAGTCATCGGCCCGCGATGAGGTGCGTATACCCAGCCACGCACATCGACTGCGACAATCGCATTCTGGTCTTCCAGCTCGTCCCATATCGGCATGCCTGTGCCAAAGCCATCGGACTCGCCCCGATACTCCTCAATGGTGGCATTTGATCCTCGACGGCGGCTATAGTATGAATCCACATGCTCATGTTTCACCAATCGCCTCGCATAGCTCGGGAATATCACCATCTCTTCAAATTCGGATCGCGCAATCTCAACGTCCGGGAATGCGCCCGGGGTATCACGATAGTCGTCATAGTCGCTCTGGCCACCGATCTGCGCCGACCATTGCGCAGCATAGGTTTGGCGCAGCTCATTGGCAGCCTTCAAGTAGTCAAAGACCTTCTTGCGGCGCGCTCCCTTCTCCCGCCCAGTACTAGAGCCCCATGCTGACGAGGATGAAGGCTCGTACTGTGACATTGGCGTGAGGCCTGAGCTCTTGGTTCTTCCCGCTCGCAAAGCCCCGGTGCTTTGCGCCAGCCTTCTATGTACAATACCACCCGTCGCAGGAGCTGTCCGACCAGCCAAGCGGTTCCCCTTTCTGTTCAGGTAACCAAAGATACCCTTCCGACCAGATTCCCGATTGCGTGCGAGTCTCGCCTGCCGCTTCACCAAGGCCCGGTATAGCCCCGCCTGTGCTCGATGTCGAAGAGCGGGGAGCGTTTCGTGACGCAGACTCCAGAGACGAGATTGTGCACGGGTAGGGGCGTGCGGACCGAACAGGAAGCGAAGGAAATGGCGAAATAATTTGCCTGTTCGCGAATGGCGAGCTGCAGGGAAGCGGAGGGGCGGAGGAAGAAGAGGTGGCCAGAGGGGGGCCCGGGGGGGGCGCCAGCGAAAGCGAGGGAGTTGTTGAGGCGCCACGGTAATTAAATATGTTCAGGGAGATATATGGGAGATGATGGTGGTATGTGAGTGAAAGAGGGAATGGACGATGGGAGGGGGAGAAGTGAGGCGTTGTGGGCTGTTCCTGAATGACTTCATTTCGTGGGAATCCTCCACTCCTGGCAAGGCTAGTGCACGTGATCGGGTGCAGCTATACCTAAGACATGTTATTATTATTATTATAGGTATGCCATATAACCCTCCCAACACTAGCAAAAAGTAGCATTCACACTTAAGAAGTTGCCCAATTTGTGATATCTCCTCTATTTCATTGGGGTGTTTCTGCCAGCCCCAAATACTTTAGCATCTGCAGGTCACAGCTAGCTAAAACTTCCGAGTGTGATGATCTCTGCAGAGGGACAATGCGGCCAGTCTGAGCTCGGCCCGATCTCTAACATCTAACAGTACAGAGTAATTTAGTGAGGAAACTAGCAGCTAGCTAGCCTTCTACTCTAAATAGCATTACCTTGTCCACCTAGATAGACTAGACCCTGACATCTCCCCGCATTCTGGACTCAACTAAACACCCACTACTACAATTGACTACAGCATACAGTATGTCAACAACATCATCATTGTACCAGGTCGTAGCAGACCTCGACAAGCAAGTCCATCCACCCATCCAATCCAATTCAATTCAATTCAATCACATCTAACCTCCCTAACAGCTTCCCCTACCCTACCGCCAACGATGCCGACAACCCCATCCTGCAAAACTACCACGCCTTCCGGATCACGGGCATCCCCCAAACCCTAGGCTACATCCCCAACGAGCTAATAACCACCTTCCCCTGGCCATCAGACACCTGGGCTATCAATACCACTCCCACCAACAAAACAATCACCCTCCTCACACCCCCCACCGCAACCGCCTCCACCCGCACCGCCATCCTCTTCCCCACCCTCCAGCAACTCGTCTCCCACGGCATCCTCCGCGGCTGGCGCAACGAGACCTTCCCCCTCTACGGCCCAGACGGCACCGTCATCCTGGAAATAGAACGCGCCGCAAGCGCCCTCTTCGGGATGGTAACCTACGGCGTGCAAATGCTCTGCTACACCGATGACAAAGTCTCCAACACACCGCACCTCTGGATCGCCAAACGCTCCTCCCTTAAACAGACATACCCCGGCATGTTAGACACCACTGCCGCGGGGGGGCTAAGTACAGGGTTACCACCGAGGGAGGCCATCATGCGGGAAGCGAGCGAGGAGGCGGAGATCCCGGAAGAGTTGATGCGGAAGGAGATGAGGTTTGTGGATCGGATTTCGTATTTCCATGTTAAGAAGGAGAGCGTTGGGGGGATAGGGATGGTGGAGCTGTTGCAGCCCGAGGTTGAGTATTTGTATGAGTTGAGGTTGGGGAAGGAGGTGGTCCCAAGTCCGGCAGATAGTGAAGTGGAGGATTTCAGGCTGTGGGGGGTAAAGGAGGTGAAGAAGGCGCTAGGGGAGGGGAGGTTTAAGCCGAATAGTGCGGTGGTGGTGGTGGATTTCTTGTTGAGGAGGGGGTTGTTAGATGGTAATGATGAGGATGAGAGAATCCGGGTGAGGTTGCATAGGGAGTTGCCTTTACCAGTGGTGGATCATGAGGGGGGAAGAGTATAGTAGTTCGTATATTAGTATTGAAGATATAATTATGGATGCATTTTGAATCCATTAAAGCCGAAATCTATGTATAGAATGTAGTTCCCAACCATCTATCTACTTTATAATGCACCGTAACAACACGAGAAACGAAACCGAGAATGAGACACATATTACCATCAGGACATCAAGTAACATGCTCCTTCTCCTCCTCCTTGGGTATCCTCACCGACGTAACCGTAACCAGCGCCGCCAGCAACTGACACGCCAGTGCGAACCACCAAATAGCTCGCAGTCCAGTAAGCCCAACACTCCCATCGGCCTGCTTATCGACGCGTGTGCCAATCGCATCTGCTACACTGGTGATAATCGCCGACGACAAGTTTTGGTTCGTAACCAGCAGACTCCCCGCACTGCCCTGGTACGAGCGCGCCACGTTACTAGTAATGAAGATGGAAGCAGCCGCGAAAGCCAGATCGGGGCCAAAGGTAACAAGCGCCACACCAGGCAGAGACAGTTCCCAGTACGTAGTGGTAGGGCTCTGGGGAAGGAAGAAGGCCGGTCCGAGCGTAAAGGCGAACATGGAGATGGTGTAGATGTAGTGGCCCGGTACGAGGTGCAAGGTGCGGCTGACCACCCAGGTGGCGATGACGCCAAAGATGGCGTTCGGGAGGTGGTATAGCGCCACGTCGATGGGGCTGGCATGCTGGATGCGCAGCCAGAACTGGATGGCGTAGAACTGCCAGGCGCCGAAGAAGGACCCGAAGCCCAGGAAGTAGGCGATCATGAGCGGGGTGAAGCCCTTGGTATTCCAGAGGCGGTTGGGGATCAGGGGGCGTGGTACGTAGCGCTCCACGATAAAGAGGCCAATGAGTAGGACGATGCCTACTGCGGTGAGCACGCAGGTGTATACGGACCAGTCGGTGACGCCACCCTGGGTCAGTCCAAAGAGTAAGCAGACACAGCCGCCGACGGCGAAGGCGGCGCCAAGGTAGTCGAACTGGCGCAGCGAGGGCACCTCGCCTCCGGCGGAGTCTGCCATAGGGCGAAGCGGGGGGATGGAGAAGTAAGCACCGACAGCACAGATGGCGGTGATGATGGCGTTGCAGCCGAAGATCCAGGGAAGGTTTTGATAGAGGAGACCGCCTTCGATGGCGCCCAGGGAGAAGCCAAACGGGGCGCAGGCGGCCATGGCGGAGAAGACGCGGTTCTTGCGAATGCCTGGCTTGTAGACGCGGCCGAGAATGCTCATGCTACCGGAGACCAAGACGCCGATGGCCAGGCCCTGCATGGCGCGCACCACGAAGAAGAGCACATAACGGGAGGGGTGGATGGAGAAGGCGCCAATGATGTTCCAGACGCTAAGCCAGAGGAAAGCCCCGACCATAAGGGCTTTGGGAGGCGTCAGGTCGGTCAACGAGCCGGACACCACGACGGACAAGCCATTGGCAACGTTGAAGGAGCCGACAAGCCAGGGTAGCTCGGTGTTGGTGATGCCGAGGGCTTGCCGGAACTGGAGCTGCGGAGCGAGCACATCTCCGAGGAGGAAAGAAAACAACATCAGACCTGCGGAGCAGACCGCGATCAACACGATCTCGGCACCGAAACTGCTGATTTCTGGCGGACGACCCTGGGTGGGCTTAGGGGGTGGGGAGCCGGCCTCGTCGGGGAAGTCCCTGCCCTGAGCTGCGACCATAGAAGGCCGGCGGTAGCTGAGATGCTGGCCATCGGTAGGATTTGCATCGCCGCGACTGTGTCGTGCCACGGGCAACTCATAAGATTCGTCTTCACTGTCATCTCGCGCGTGTGCAATAACCTGGGGGAATTTCTTGAGCGTGTCGTCGTGGCCGGCGAGGTGGGCGTACAAAGGATCCGGGGTTTGAGCTCCGGTCGCGGGGGTGGAGGCGAATTTACTACTGCTGGCCTGGTCGGTCAATGAGAGCGAGGATCGCCGAGACAATGGAGCCGAGTCCAGGCTGTTCTGCGTCACTTCAACAGTGATCTTGTTCTTGTCGTTGTTCGGACTCGGGGATCGGGAGGCATCATCCCGGGTCGGGTAGGGCTGGTCGGACGGCATCCTCTGTAGAGACACAGCCACCGGGGTAAAAAGAGAACGATTCGGCACAAGGACTACTGCACTTCAGGGTTCTGATCCGCCTGCGGTCTGGTGATTGTTTTTAAGGGATTTCGGGATAAGGTCTCCGTCACCGCTGAGGCAAAGTGGACCGGGCCAGCGGAGTATCAGGGCGATTCTTTTGCTTTTTGGCTCTGGAGATTTATAAGGCGCTGAAATAATGGGCAGCAATGAGCCGTCATCCATCGTTGTGAACTCGGCCTCCAGCCAGTCCCAGGCCGTTTGATAAACCGGGCCGTGGCCACACAGTGACGCTAGCGATAAGATTTTGCACCGCTAACAGCAATGGTGGGCTGGAATCCCTTGCGGTGGTTTGCGCGTCGCTCATCCGTGTGGATCCCAAGCATCCATGGTTGATCCACGGCTGATCTGGCCCAGTTTTAATCGGATTTCAATTTCCAGAAAGCTGCTGGTTTATCGCGTGCTGCTGCTGTCAGTCGCTCTGTTGCCACCTAAATGCCCAACTCGACAAGATGGCGTTTTGCGGTGTGCGATGAAGCCGCAGATGTCGCCATATCAGTGACTCACGATAAGTGCGCGGTAGACAGCTGTGCCAACTGTAAACGCACTGACCACGTTCAATGGGATTCTGGATGGCATGTTGCATCGCACAGCTTTTGCGTCTGGCTTTCAGCATTCCCTCCCCAGGTTTGATGATCGACAGGGCCGCATCATCGTGTCGCAAACTGATCGGTCGGATCGGCGGAACTATTCGAGGCTGGGGACAGGATGTTTGGGATTGCGTCGGATGATTGCCCGGCTGCGCATCTCATACTTGTCGATCATCCAGGTCATGCACATGGAGTGGGAGCTCCTGAGCTTGCCATTCGTTTGCTGTTCTCTGAGCTGGGTTTTCCATAGGCAGGTGCCAGCCAACGTCGGCATGTCAGCTTAGGCAGCAATGACCGGCATAGCGGGGCTCTGCTGAGGATGTTAAGAAGTATCTTCCATGAAACACCAGCTCCCCCGGGCCGCGGAGGATCAATGCACTGGGGAGCGAGGGCTCCTGGTTGAGATCGACCATCCCTGGGTTAGCACTATCCCCTTAAGGGGCTCCCTCTGCAGTGATGTGATTTCCCGCCGGCGATCAAAGTATTTCGGAGTCGCCTGTTTTCTTGCTTCTTTTGCTTGTTTTGCTTGTTTCGCGCCGTTAGCGAGTCAATGGTCGGGTGTTGTTGCTTTTGGGTACTACTAACGTGCGTCAGCGATCAGGGAGAAGCTTGGTACGGAGTAGTCTCTGGCATTAATGATACGCACTCGCTGCGGTCGCGGGAACCGATCCAGCCACTATGCAGCCACTGTGTCGTCTAGAAGCAAGGGATGATAGACATTTAGGAGGATTGCGGGAATTTTTATGGTGCCGAGTCCCACTGGGGATTGAATGGCACTCAGAGGAATTGTCGCAAACTCACATATCTTCTTTGCCGTGCCGTAGATTTGTCCCATGCGAGGTGGCTGTTCCTGCATCGCACAAGCTGCCAACATGAAACTCCCCTGGCTTTGCTTGCTTTTGATTCCTTTGGCTAATCCGCACTACTGCGCATAGCAAGCTGTCGTGTAGCCATCGAGGATTCATCATTCCGAACCGACCGTGCGACTTGCCGGATGACAATCACTACAGTTCAATATCGAAAGGAGGCCTTCTCTCGAAGGAGTAACTATGCTCCGGTTGTTCTCCTTATTTGTCAAGTCGACAAAGCAATGTATGCTCGGCTTGTATGGATGTCTTCCTTGGTTCAATGCCTACAGCGGAATACCGGCCTGAAAAATGACTAGCAGAGCAAGCGGATAATTGCCTCGCTGGTGAGGTTTCCATAGACCCAGCCCATGTGCGCGATGACATTTGCGATCGCAGCTAGTCATCCGAGTACTTCCGATTTGCTTGGGTCTATGCAGGTGATATTGCAGGTATTTCATCTTACCGATCGGCTTTTCAGAATTTGTCACGAGTATGTAGATCTCACTCGCATTAAAGGGGTGGCCTAGTGGCCCGGTGAAGAGAGTTGGCCTAAAGGGCATATATAGTAGGCCCCATTGCTGCATATCTGGTCCCCTTCGACTTATATCTATGACTACCATTGCTTTTGCCGGAGTAACTGGCAACTTCACGCCCCCCTAGACTCGTTCCTGATGGCTTACTATTTCTAGTGTTGCGATAGCATGAGAGCTAGTACCCTACAGCTCGTTACCCGATGCAGGGATATCACCTCCGCCGCTCATCAACAAGTCAAAAAAGGAAGATACGACTTCCTGGCTTTATCGGCATGATGAAAGAAGGGTGTGACATACTATGCAGACGGAGCATTGGTAAAAGCTTTTGGTCACAGGAACCCCGGCTCACTATCACACATTGACGGCTGTGAGTCCATGTTTGCTGACTGAGGCTGAGGAGGGCTGTTTTCTTTGATAAACCATGCCTTTCTTTCCCGCAGCATGTTATCTCTCAGCTAGGGCCAATGGAAAAAGAATGAAATCAACCCCGATATGGAGTTTCTCTTTCTGCACTACAGTTACTGAGGGTAGCAAGGCCAGCAACAGAGAGCACAGCAGGGGAAGAGAGATTACCATTCCTAACACCGCACTAATCCGGCTATCTCTCTAACCAGGTAATGGCAGGTTTTGCTGCTCAACTTCATCCTTCATTCCTCTCTTCTGTGTTGGTTACTTCCCAGACCAATCTTCAGGCCTATATTCTCTTGGATGTTCTTCGCGCCCCATCTTCAGCTCCTAAATAGTCCTTAAATCCTCCCTGTGCTGCTCCCGGGCGGGTCCTAATCAGTTTGTCCTCTTTGTCCCTCCAATCTCATCATCATCTCGCTGCATCTGCTGTGATAGTATATCACCTGCGTCGTGTCCTTGTTCCAACATTGTGCTCACTGATTGTCCTTGGGAGCTCGACCGGATCCCTATGCCAGCCAAACTACGTTGGAAAAATTACTAAAATAATCTGATACTTTCCCCTTCCTGTATACTCGACATATTCTGTGGCATTCAGAGCGTGAGACTCTGCGGTGTGACATATATGAGCTCTAGGGATATTAAGACCATCCTCCTCAAAAACAAGATCGTCTTAGTCCTGGCAAACTATAGACTTGATTTCATGGTCTATGCTCCTGCTGGAATTTCATCTATGCTCTCTGCACTCTTCCATCATTTGGTATGTATAAATAGTCCTTTGGTGGAATAGCATAAAGCCTGAAGCTCTAAGCCACTGTCGGACTAGTGTTGATAGCTTCGTGAGCAACTGAGCAGCAACATTATCTTGGAATAACTTATACCATAGCTCTTGATGAACGGTGCTCTCACTCTGGCATTATGACAAGCTCTCATGGGTAGTTTCTTTCACTTTTCGAGCAGAGCTTTTGGAAGACTTTGTCGACGAGGATCTTCACCACACTGTCAATGAACAAGATCAAACAGTGGAAACAGTGCCGTTCACAGAAGCGATGGATAGCTTATCCCACATCTTCGTCTCAGTGATATGAAAGGTGTCTGGTAAAGCGACCTGTAATTCTGATGACTGAGTCATTGCCCCGCATACCCGGCCTTCTATAATGATGCTCGTATATATTCTTCCGTCTGATACGTCAGTCTGATATTGTGCGCACTGGTCATAAATCGGGGGGAATCATCTTTCTTCAAATCGCTCGAAAAATCTACCTGAAAAGGGAACCGTGCCGTACTAGAGAAGCTAGCCATCATGTTTAAAGAGCCCTTAGATCTCGATTTTACATTCCTACGGTTGAGAATTAGGTGTCTATCTGCATCCGGGAAAGTACATAGGTCTCAAATGGACCCGGAACGGCAAGGGTGACATGCTGGCTGGAAGAACTGATCCACTGTGGCATGGTGAAGCATGTTGCATGGAGTCAAATATAGGTAGTCTGTTAAGCTAAAGGGCGGTGATAATTAGGAATAACTCAACTACTAAGGTAAATGGATAAGTACTATACTCGAATTTATAACTGATATAATCTGTTAAGGATTAGCAATGCTCATCATGCCCACACAAAAGCAAGCCGTGAAGATACACCCATCTGAAGGATCTGTTCTGAAAATCTTTCAACAGGAACTTTTACGCCTTAAAAGCTATATCAAAGTAGGTGTGATAAAAGATAAAGATTTCTGTGAAGGCACTTGCATGACCTGATAGAGCATTTAGCTCAGACCAGTGTATTGAGATTACTTCAACGAGAAAAGAAATTCTTGATCCTGCGAGTGGTCTGGCAGCTGGCATAATACTGAGCATGAAGTGTGCTCTACAAGGGATGGCTGAACTTGGCCTTCGGACTTGGTACCGTAGTAAGATTAGACTTGCTCGATTCGATATGCACAGTCATTCTCCAACTCTTAGGAATAATGTCATTCTTACATAAGGAAATCAAAGACTAAGGTTTATATCTTCTTTGGCCTAATTAAGAATGCTATATGCGATGCTAGCTACGCAGGTATTCAGATTTTGAAGCATTATTTGGTTCTGGATACTGTCGGTCGCCGGATACCAAAATGAGATCGATTCTTCGATAATGACTGCTAGTATACATTATCGAGTTCCTATATGGGCCTTATCTTCCCCAATGCCTGATGGTCAAAATTATACTCAAATGTAGGCATGGTATGAACGTCCAGTATACTGTAAACCTCGACTGAAGGGGGGATTACATCAGGCTAGCTGGTAAAGAGAAGGAAGCAGTCCACGATTACTTCTAGAGATCACCTCATTCCCTTGACTAAGAGACAATTTGTAGGAATTCAAAGCCCTGGGTAAGATGACTGACAAGTCATCTATCAAGTCATCATTATAATACGAAAGACGGAGTTTCTTTACTTCGTCTATCGCCTCATTCATCCCACCGGTCTTGATATCTAGATATTATTCTATTTCAAGCCCACACATGAGTGTATAGTGAAATGAAAGAGTAAGCAAGCAACGGGTAGGACTATCTTGAGAATATTGACTCTACTTGAGATCATGCTATCTTAATAATAGGCCTTTTCCTCGTAAGGGTAGACATTTACTTGACGGTACATTTGCAGTTTCAACATGATGCTACTAGAGCTAGTAGTAGTGGCGGTGCTAATAGTACTAAGCAGTTGTTTTAGCGGTAACAAGTTTCACGAATAATATAAATGTACTTCTAGAGCTAAACTGAACTAGGTAAGCTGGCATAGAAGCCTCTCCAGGCTGTTTCGGGTTAGGACATGCTCTACTGTATGTGATGAGTCCACAGCATCGAGCACTACCTATACTTGATTTTCAGTAACTCCACA